CAGGAATATTATTTTTAACGAAAATTGCTACAGATGTTTGTCTAATACGAGTATTGGTTAATCGATAGTTGATATTGGCGAAGTAGAAACACAGTTCCTCAGTATATATTTAGGCATATTAATGTGGACTGAGAGTAATGTCACTGTTATGGGACAATAAAATTCTTTGTCAAGGCACTTAACTCGGTGTTTTTATATTGAGTAGATAAGTTAAAGATTTTAAAGCGAAAATTTAAGAAAATTTATCTAGAATGTACGTAAAATCCTAAATGCCAATATTCTGATATGACTTAAGAATAATAGTTCAATTAAAGAGAGAAATGTGATCTTCATACACCGGATCGAATAAGTATAATCTGCCTTGGCATCTAATGAATTCTTGGGTAAATTAGGGCTTATAATCGAGAGACAGATCTTGTGGCCGCTTTGTTCTTTGGCTCTAAGCCCATGAAAAGCCTGTGGACTATTTTCAAGAATCGTGAGATTTTGGAATAAATGTTATCTGTTAGCGAATATATTAGCCACAAAAGAGAACGCACAAATTAAGTTTGACTATGGTTTTCTTTAAATATATGTTTTTACAATAATGTTCAAACTGTCCACGGTCAATGAGCCACTCGAGGTAGAGTGTTACCGAGTAAGAGGTACATTTTATGGAGACATGTAAGGAAGATGACAGAGTGAAACAGGTTAAGATTATAGTGATCGGGGAAGCAGCGGTTCGTGGGATGAAGCTGCTCGAGTGGAACTGTCATCTCATTAATGTTATACGAAGGGAATGAGGGTGGTTCGTTAGAATGTGCGTCGCAGGGCGGGTTTTAGTCGTGAAGGTTAAAACTGATGGAAATAAGCAATATATTCCGTCTGAGCACATTCCATGGAAATAGCGATAGTACAACGAAATGTTTGCGATGATCCGTCTTCGAGAAAATGGTTGGGGAATTCATTTCCCAATCTGACGCGGAGACGCTTTTGGACAATCAAGACGACCAAGTGAAAACTCGACAGCTCTTCTCCATATATGGCAAAGGTACGCCATTTTTTGATTTGATCTGGATCTTGTAGAAGTAAGGCATAGCAGGAGGTGTTAAGTACTTACTGGAGCGGTCCAGGAAACCGACAATTTGTTCAACATCCTAAGCGATAAATTGTATGTACATGTTCAACTTAAGGTCTAGGTTGAGGTTGTTCCAATACGCATTCAAGACAAGCCACCACCCACAAAACGCCCCTTTCATCGCGATAGGTAGATTCAGGGTTCATTTGGAAATCACACACACATTCTTATTGTTCAGATATATTCAGGTCTAGATATGTATTGCATTTTCTTAAATCAAGCATGTAATCAGTACAGATTTCTATTAGTCAAAATCATTTGTTTCCCCAACGATTAATTTTAGAATTATAGTACTTTTTATTGACATAAATTATTGCGACTAACATATATAAAATTTGCTATGTTACATATTCGTCCTCCGACAGAGTTAATACTGTTTATTATAAACAGAGCATTTACTTAAATATTTGTATCTATAAAAAGAATGTATAAACATAAAAAATGTCTTAAAATAATTGTCGGACTTTGTCCATTTCATAATGTGTGACGTCATTTGTTTACATTTGATACGCCATGAGCAGATCTGAATGTACGTGAGAGATTCATAGAAGATTGAAGTTCAAATACAGTAAATTCGACCTTGCTAACCGAACGCTCCTCTGTGGCCAAGTCGGTTAAGGAACGTCAAGCTAAATGACGGTTCTGTATAAGATATAGTTTCGAATCCTGTCGGAGGAAGAATACTTTCTGTGAAAATTTCTCGGACATTCAGGCCGGTAAAAGTTGTTTAATACTGTTTATTATAAACAGAGCATTTACTTAAATATTTGTATCTATAAAAAAAATGTATAACCATAAAAATGTCTTAAATATATATATATATCCTGTATTTTATTGTTCCCCATATAACCAGGTCTAGATTTATAGTTCGTTTTCTGTAAAGAATAGTTTATCCTTTGGACATTGAGTCTTTATGATAATTGCATAAAATGACAGACACTGAAAAGATTGTTTATATATCTAAGCATTCACTTCTTTCTGTTTCTAGTGGTCAAAATCATGTGTTTTTTCAACCACTAAATTTAGAATTTACAGTTACAGTGTAACCCGGATATAAGAGACCCGGATATAAGAGAAACCCGGATATAAGGGAGATTTTCTCTGGTCCCAAATTAGAGCCTGTGTTAATGTATATAAATTAGACCAAACCCGGATATAAGAGAAACCCGGATATAAGAGACTTCTCCGGTCCCGACAACTCTCTTATATCCGGGTTACACTGTACTTATTTACATAGAATATAGAGACTACCAAATAAAATTTTAGTATATTAATGGGATAAGTTTTCAGTACAGGAGATAAGTCGTTTATAGTCACTGATGTGTAGGCATAGGTATCAACAGTAAAGTAACGTTTAAACTCCAATTTCAAATTCTGACTATGTGTCGTAAAACTATCTACAAGTCTTTTCTGAAATGTTTTATTTCGTTGACCTTTTACATCAATGACCTTTTGCTAAACTTGGGTAAATTGAAATAAATATCCCCCAATATGTTTCTTCTCCCACATGAAATCTGTATATGATTCTATTTAAAAAAAACAAACAAAAAAAAACACCTACATGTGATTCAGCTGATAAAAATAAAATCTTCCGGTGTTTGCTCTGAAATATAACTTTAAAAAATAATAAAATCTGGAATTGACAGAAAAATAGTGTTTGTTATCAATAAAACAGCATTGCCACGACATAATCGGAAATAAAGAAAATATCACAATTTTTATCATTATTGCACGAATATTACTTTTAACGAAAACTGCTAGTGATGTTGCTTTAATACGAGTAATGGTAAAACGATAGTTGATATTGGCAAAGAAACACTGTTTCGCAGTACAGATTTAGGCATATTAATGTGGACGGAGCGTAATGTCATTTTTAGGAGACCATAAAATTCATTGCCAAGGCACTTAAGTCGGTGTTTAATAATAGATAAATTGCCGTCTAAATTAGGCAAAAACGAAAATAACACCGACATCTCATTTTAACAGATATTTATCAAAATTACACAAAAATATCTTGAAATACTAAACAGTAAATTTATTCAATAAAATAGCCATTGGTTTCAACAACGTCGAAGGAGGGGCTTCCACGCCAACGCGTAAAACAGCGGACAACCCTGACGAACCGACTGTGACAGCGCAAAAGCGCGCGACCGCTTTCCGTTCACCTGTACGGAGCCATTTTAGTGCGTGATACAGGAGAATGGTCCACTGACAGAAGTCAGGTTTGAATCCGGCGTCATGCATGACAGCAGCCAGATCCTAATGGTCGACCCTTTCAAGCGTCTAGGACTGATCCAAATTGATTAGGGAGACTTTATTGTCGTCTTTTAAAATCGTCTTGACCGTGCGGATCTGTTGTTCTGAATTGTTCGTCCCGCGGCTCGGCTCCAAACAGAATCTTGGAAACTGACTGCAAACGCTCTATCAGGATCTTGACCAAAGATCATTAACTGTGTTTAACAGAATTATTGGCATCTAATTATCTAAATCCCCACCTACCATCTTTTTCTTAATAGACCGTCCTAACCGGCTAACCAGTGGAACAATCACTAACATTATATCCAGGTAGCTGGCTACCAGGATAATCGTCCCCTTAAGAGCCCACATCTACGCGCTATCTATCGACGACATCAAACTCGACGATACGATTAACCAAGCTATGATAGCCAGAGCACGCACTAGTTCCCCGCTCCATGTCTATTTTATGGTCCAGGATGTTATTCCAGTCCGTCAAGTTTGACGAATCCACCAGGAACGCCCCAACCGACGGAAAAATCGTTGGGCGCATAAGCCACAACGATCCAAAATCAACTACTACCACGATCAATAGCCCTACTCCAGCATCGACATGGACAAGGTCAACCTTCTCACCCAGGTTACGTTTAACCAGCAACAAGACACATCTGGCAACCTTGTTGTCATAAGCTGAATAGACAGCTAGACAGTACACGGGTATCAACTTCGGAAACAAAGTATCTCCTGGATCGCGGCTACATCTATACCAAAGGACAAGAGATCATAAAACAGGCGGGCCACACTACTCCGATCCCCAAGCATTCAAACTGGCTAGATTAATAGACATTTTCAAAGACTAAACAGAAATCTGCGGGTGTCACGACCCAGACGTATTGTCACAGATCGCCAGTATCAATATCGGACGCAATTCGTCCGTCTGAGAAAATACCACCGACATCTGTCGAGAAAGTGAAATTTAGCGCCCTATATAAGGTGACATGGAGCAGAACAGGGACCCACCCTGCTCAGACTCACGGTAGTTTCTTGTGCTCAGGAGACTATTTGTGCCACGCTGAGCTTCGCGAATGCGTCTTTCGCCCCCACCAAGTGATCCCAAATTTTCAGTGAATTTCATGAGGGTAATCTCTCCGGGTGCGTTAGGAAAATTCCTTGGGTCCTCCGCTGACGGGAAGTTAACGGAAGGCCCAAAGAAAAAAGAATGCAAGAGGGCCTTCCTCTGAGAGGAAAGTTCCCTCACAAGGGCCTGCTAGTCAGTCTGACATTTTCTCTTCTTGGGGAGTTTTTTCTTTTTCCTTGAGAAGTGTTGGGAGAGGGAGAATACAGGGCCCTAGAAGGGGAAAAGGGGAGGCTTCTTGCCTTACCTAGCAGCTGTTTTGTTTCGGCTCTTACTAGCGAAGCAGCGGCGGATTGGGTCCTCTCTTCTACCTATGCCCTTCTCTGCCCTGCTTCGACCAGATTTCTTCTCTTCCCTCCCTCATTTCAGCGAGGAGGAATGCAGTGGAGGCATCTCATCCACCTCCATGTAAAGATCTAATTGCAGTAGAACCACCGGATTCAACTGATATCGTGATTGCTCAAACTGCTGCTGTAGTTGTTGCTGGTGCTGTTGTTCCGGCTGCCCCTGTGGTTACTTCGGCCGCTCCAGCAGATCCCGCTGTTGTTTCTGATGCAGCTGCTTCTCTTTAGGTGGCGATAACTGTTGATGCTCCTTCGGTAGCTGCTGATGATCATTCAGCTGTTGCTTCAGTTGCTGTCTAGCCGGTTTGACGGCGGTACAGCTTTTTTTTGGGTGGGACGTCCTGCTGGGGATGAGTGTGGTCAACTTTGCTCCGCTCATCACTACCTCCGTCCACTCACTGGAGCTACTAAGGGCCTGACGGGACATTCCTGCTCCCACTGTTTCTTTTGGTGCTGCTGGTTTTGATGTTTTCTGGTGTTGGTCCCGGATTCTTCCGGTGCATGTCCTTGGTAAGTGCCTCGTGTCACCACAGGACTAACGGTGGGGACGACGACATTCCACAATCACCAGGATGGGAAAAGATAACTTAATGGGCAACTCTATGAAGTCATTACAGGTCATAGTGGTTTTCAAACGTAATCACACATCGCAAAGCCCGACTGTACAAATCTGAAAAAGATGACAGCCACTCGCTTCTCTGTCAAATCCATGGGCATCCCGCATAGCCCAACCTTGTCCTCCGCGTGGCTATGTATTCAGTTTGTATTTGTACTGAATTAGTCATCAGTACGCTGCGTTCCAGTATTTTTTTTTTTTTTTTGGTTTCCTCTTCGTTTGCCAGCAGGATGTTCCACATGGCATTAGACTTCTTGTTAAGGACCTTCGGCATGATTCAGAGGCTCTCGAGAACCTCTTTCATGCTGCTACCAACGAGCCGACATTTTTTTTTCACGTTGGTCGTCAACAGGGAAATTGTCCTGGTTGAAATAGCTTACAGGGCCGCTGGTATAGTGAGCAATTCTTTGCCTTATATGCGTTGCATATTTTTTCTGAGGGTTCAGAGGACGACGCCATAGGGGTTTCCACACCAACGCACACAGGAACAAAAAATGTCGAGGCAGAAGAACCCGAATATTAAGACAAGCGAGGACAAATAAAACAGTACAACAAGTGACTGAACGTAGATAAAATTCGAACTTACTTTCTGTCTTTTGCAATTAAAAATGAACGAGTGAAAAAATCTTATAGGAATGCTGATTTATTGTTATCAAAATTAAAAGTTTTGGCACAAGGCCGAAGGGGCAATGGAGTAGTTTTATGTTGCTAATCAGATTCACGACCCATTCATTATATTTTACACATTCACCACAAGAACTCATCCATCTTCATTGAATTCTACACATACCACAATAACATTTAAAAGAAACAAACGCTATGACAAAATATCAAAATGTCTAAAAAAAAAAAAAGTCTCTCATCACTGACAGACTTTTTTTTTTGCTTCATAATTTTAGTTCCCCGTTAACAGTTCTGATGAGAGGGGACGAAACCGGTCAACTGGTGTGTGTTTTTGTTTAAATCTATCATGGCCTATAATATAAAATCTCTTGCTTTTTATGCCTTAATGCGTTTCTGTACTGTTTCAAACATATTTAAATATATATCTTTATATATATATATATATATATATATATATATATATATATATATATATATATATATATATATATATATATATATATAATAGGAAAACTGTAGTTATATATGTATGTTTTTGTTTTCCATGTCGACAAATATGAAAATCTCTCAGAGTTAACCTGTAGAAAAGACAATATTTATAAATATACATGACAATAGGAAAACTGTAGTTATATTGTCTTTTGTACATGTTAACTCAGAGAAATTTTCATGCATACATACATATATATATATATATATATATATATATATATATATATATATATATATATATATATATATATATATATATATATATTTCGGTCTATTTCTATATGTTTCTATCACTATTCATATATAATGTTTTTTTTATATTATTTTACCGGTATTTATTGTGACTGGTTATTATCCTCTGTACTGCCGGTGTTGAAATTTAGTTTTATTGTAACGAACTTAACATAATTTGTAAAAATGATTACACCATGTTTTCGTCTTCAAGACCACTAAGAATCTTTCTCCCTAAAAACAGAAACTGGAAGACTGAGATTCTTATTAAGGCAATTTTTAGTTGAGATTTTCCTGTACTTCTTTCGCACCTCCGTTAAACTTAAGCCGTAAACACACACCTTTATTATTAATCGATCTTGGGAATTCTTGCGAACGCGAAAATAATAAAAAAAATAGATCCCACAACGTCTTTCTTAGACGAGAAGTAACAAAGAAAACAAGCGAAAGTATCTCAGTGAATGTTAAAGAAAACCAAAATAGTGAAGTTTAAAAAAAAAAAAAGGTTAAATTTCCTGAAGTACTAAATACAATTCCAAATTCAAGCCGACGAAAATAGTCCGAAAACCCCCAAGATGATTCTAAAGTGAAAAAAAAAAAACGAAAAAAAATCAGAAAAAAAGAAAAATTACACAGAAATATTAAGATTTTTACTCGAGTCATTATCTCAATTTTTTTTTATATTTCAAATTCTCCAGGGGGGGAATGAGGAATGGAGCAGATATTATTTTCAGATAAATTAAAAAAAAAATATCTAATACTGAAAAGGTTTACCTTCGAAAATGTGTGAGCGAAAGAGAGAAAGAGAGAGAGAGGGAGAGAGAGAGAGAAAGAGAGAAGGTGTGAGAGAGAGTCAGAAAGAGAGAGAGAGTGAGAGAGAAAGTGTGTGAGAGAGTCAGAAAGAGAGAGAGAGTGAGAGAGAAAGGAAAGAGAGTCAAAGAAGAGAGGGAACGAGAGAGAGAGAGAGAGAGAGAGAGAGAGAGAAAGAGAGAGGAGAAAGAAAGAGAGAGAGAAAAGAGAGAGAAAAGAAAAGAGAGAATCAGAAAGAGAGTCAGAGGAGAAAGGAGAGATTAAGAGAGAGAAAGAGAAGAGAGAGAAAGAGAGAGAGAGAGAGAAGAAAAGAGAGAGTGGAGAGAAAGGAGAGAGAGAGTCAGATGAGAAAGGAGGGAGGGAGAGAGAAGAGGAGAGAGAGAGAGAAAGAGAAAGGGAGGGAAGGAATTTAAAAGAGAGAGAGAGAAAGAGAAGAGAAAGAGAGAGAGAAGAAAGAGATTGTGAGAGAAGGTGTGAGAAGAAAGAGAGAAAGAAAGAGAGAAAGAGGTGAGTGGAGAGAGAGAGAGATTTTGTAAGAAATTGAAAAGGAGTGGCAGGTGCAACATTAGAGGTTTCTTTCTCCTAAAGTTATCCCCTAAGAAGGGTTAGACGGTATCATCTTCCTAAGACAGGCCGGTAGACGTAATGCACTTAAGCAAAATGCGCCATATACTTAAAGCACAGGTAGCCACTAAATAACATCTGACGTAATAAGAATGTCGGATAAAAATCAATTCTTTAGAAATTGCTTTGTTTACATTACGGATATTGCCTTTCAAGAAAATTTGAACGAAGATAGGTGCATTCCTTAAAAGTGTAAGTAGAACCTTACTGGGATATGCTGTGAGTTGGATTGGTCTAAAGAACGCCGATTTCTCTGGTTGGGAGGTGTTTCTGGGGTTGAAATTCATAGGAGGCTTATAATACAATACGTCGACTGTGCACTACCGTGTGGAAGAAAGAGAGAGAGTCAGAAAGAGAGAGAGTGAGAGAGAAAGTGTGTGAGAGAGAGTCAGAAAGAGAGAGAGAGTGAGTCAGAAAAAGAGAGAGAGAGTCAGAAAGAGATAGAGAGATTTAGAAAGAGAGAGAGAGTGAGAGAGAAAGTGTGAGAGAGTCAGAAAGAGAGAGAGAAAGTGTGAGAGAGAATCAGAAGGTGAGAGAGAGTCAGAAAGAGAAAGGGAGAGTGATAGAGAAAGTGTGAGAGAGAATCAGAAAGAGAGAGTGAAATTAAAAAGAGAGAGATGAGAGTGTGAGGGAGGGAGAAAGGAGAGAGAGAGAAAGAGAGAGAGAGAAAGAAAGAGAGAGTTGATAGAAAAAGTGAGGAGAGTGTCTGAAAGAGAGAGAGGGTCAAAAGAGAGAGAGAGAGAGAAAATATCTGGCTCCAAAGAATGAGAGAGAGATTGAGATTATTGAGAGGAAAGTTTATAGAGCAAAAAGAGAGAGAAAAAAGAGAGAGTCAGAAAGAAAACAGAGAGAGAGAAAAATGAGAGAGAGAGTTCCAGAAAGAGAGAGAGAGTTATAAATGAAAGAGAGAGAGAGTCAAAACAAGAGAGAGAGAGAATGTTAGTGAAAGTGTTTCAAACAAACAGAGGGGTCAAAAAGAGAGTGAGAGTGTTTTAGAGACATCGTGAGAGAGAGAAAAATAGAGATAGATAGAGAATATCGTTTATCACACCCGTGAGAGAGTCAGAGAGAGTGAGTGTTTGAGAGAAAACACCGGTCCTCTAAGATTGAGAGAGAGTTTTGAGAGAATAATTTAAAGATAGTCAGAAAGAGAGAGAGTGAGAGAGAAAGTGTGAGAGAGAGTCAGAAAGAGAGAGAGTCAGAAAGAGAGAGTGAGAGAGAAGATGTGTGAGAGAGAAAGAGAGGTTGAATGAATTGAAGAATTTAAAAATTGCCAGACAAGCGTAGTGTAAGCAGAATCAAGACGCCGGTCAACCTCCACCACGGACAATAATATTCAGCAATGTCGTGAGATGGTAATTCCAAACCAGCGAGTTATCATAGATGAGCAAGCATATTCACTGTAGATTCGAATCACTGCTCTTTGTCCCACTTTGCTGCAAACTGCTGGCGGGGCGGCGTTGTTTATGCTTTAACAGGAGCAAGAAAACTGACGCGACCAAGCTCAAACATCGAGCACGTGACCACAATGGTGCCAGACCTAAAGATATGTCATTGTACCAAACCTAAATATATTTTATAGTGAAAGCACGGATAACTTTTGACTTACCTTCGTAGACATCGAAATTTAAAGCCGAGAAAAAAAGAAAGAAATCGTCTCCAATGTCTGACTCCATTACTCTTCAAATAATTATTTTACTAAACACTTTCATGGCAGCAATTTTTAGCATAGCTTATATATATTAAATTATTTCCACTTCAAGTTTAATTAACGTTGAATATCGTTTATCACACCCGTGATCTTGAGAGACTGTTTTTGATGCCATATTCCTTTAGGTCGAAAGTAATCATTTTTAATTATCAATGAAGTACCTTATAAGGAAAAAAATATATTGTTGGCTTCTGCTAAACGTCATACCCCGTTAAAACACCGGGTCCTCTACGATTACTGAAGTTAAGCAGAACAGAACCTAGGTGGGTGACCGCTTGGAAATACCAGATGTTGTAAACTTGAATGTACAGTTATGCTAATGAATAATGGCTCGGAATTCTTAATCGGAGAGCCGAGTTCAAATTCCAGATGGTTATTTTATATTACACACAAAAACATTTGGGAAAGGTATTACTCCACTTCCTCTCCCCCTGTTATGGGTTAATTAGTAAGAGCCATATTACAAATCATTCAGTCACTCATTTAAGTGCCATACATGATACACGCTTCGGCGACCATGTCCAACTAAACAAGTTTTTGCCTCTGTAGGTTGCCATTTCTTTTTGGCGGTAGACTGGTTGCCAAACAAGGCTTTAGAACTCTGTCTCTCCTGTTACCCATCCAAAAGCTAGGGGAAAAGATATAAATTCATACTTTCCCAGAGGTATTTTTGAATAAATAAATATAACGAACTCGACTGGAATTTGATCTTGTCTCTCCGAGTTTTCATTTGGAGCCGGTACACATTACACCGTAACGCACATCCCAAATAATCATTATTATCTAAATTCTTACAATGTAAAAATATTTTCTGGCTTTAAATAATCATCAAAGGGTTGATAAACCGTAGAAAATGAATCCGTGTTGCCTTCTCCACGTTCATTTTAAATGTCGCCACCAGAGCTAGCGAGCTTTGGTACACTGGAAATTATTGATACAAGCAACCGTGAATTAAACCCTCAAAACAGACATCACAAAAATCGTCGGTTAACTTTCTCCAATTAACCTAAATAGAGAGTCGTATGATTTTAATCTTTCGTTGCTCAGTATATTATAGATAGATCATAATGCCTTATCTACGAAAACAATGACAATTAAGAGTGCTTTATTTTTGCAAAAAAAGTCATATGACGCTAAATCCTCTAAAGTTACAGCATAAGAAAAAAAAAAGAAAAATATTAACTAGCTTAAAACTGCCCTATCGAGTGGCATTTAAGCTAGCTTCTGTGGAGGGCTCTTGATTGGGTTTTTGGCTTGTTCAGAACACATTTTGATGTGCGTAGGTCTTTACTTTAGGTACAAACAATTATTTTTATTCCATGGGTGATTTTCGCTGAATTTAATTTCGATTATTCTCAAATTTATTTCCAAGTTATAAAAGTTGTCATCGTACAATATATATATATATATATATATATATATATATATATATATAATATTGCCGAAAGCAATCGCAGTAACAAAAACTTGGGAATTCATAATTTCTGTAACATGAGCTATTGAAAGTTAGAGAGTTGTGTCCCTTTAATTCAAAAAAAAAAACAATGACGCAGGGACAGACTGACATTCGCATTTATTATGAGAACAATAAAAGTGTCAATAAATGACAAGTCAACCTACAAGAGTGTGTGGTACATGTGCAACGATTGCAAGAATGTGATTTCATTAGTTTCGGGGATATACCTTCGAAAGGAATTTTTTTTTAATCATTTCACCCCAAGCAAGACCATAAAGTCATTAAGACGCAAGGGGTTACTGATTGTTAGAGAATATGTGAACATATACTGTTAAGGAGAGAGGAGAAATAAAAGAACAAACATCACGAACACAGATAACAATTGACATTGCATTTAAAGTTTTGAAGATGAAAGATGGCCGCAAAACATGGAGCCGGAAGAAAATTCCACATGTGAGAAGTGCGAGAAAAGAAACTGTTAGCATAGAATTTAAGATACCACATCGAAGAGTTGTTCCAAACTGTCGTATGTCCAGAAATTGCTGTCGCTTTCTGTCTGCAATCCGTCTAGTCTCGCCGAAGCCTAGAAAAGCAGTGGCCTCCCACGTCCACTCGCCGGGTTTTTAATCGGTAGCGTGGTTCGCTTATGCAAATAAGTCTGCTGCATAAAAATGGCAGTAGGCGCACGCGCGACCGACTCTCAGAGAATGGTTCGACACGCGAGGCAACGAATTCTCTTTGCTCCTGGTAAGTCACTGTCACTCCTATTACACAAACACTTACCATTTTTAGTCTGGTCTGCCTCTTGTAAAGGTAGATCATAGCCGGGGTAATGAAATACTTACCGGAGCGATACAATGAGCCAGCATCATTAGCAATAGATTGGATGTAAGAGTTCCACTTGAGGTCCTGGGTAATCTGGACTTCTGATAGATGTTCACGGCAAGGTAACTCCTTGTAAGTACAACCGTTCATCATATTTGGGGAAAGGCCAGTGTTCGTTTTGTGACGAGGAAAAGATACTAGTTTGATTTTAATGGTACTGAATATTACAAGTCAATTTCTCCCGCATGAAGCTGTGTGAAGAATGGAAGAGAAAAGATAAGTTGCCAAACTCTGGCTATCTAGATTGGTATAATTTAAGACTAGTATATCTGCTACTAGAAATTAAGCGTATGGTATCCTTTATGATGAAGGCACGATTTGTTTAAAAGGGGATTAAGGCCGTGGAAAATTCAAGTAAAAAAATATCGTATTAATGAGTCCAGAATTGATACGAATGAATGATTTTCTTTATGTCTGAATTTCTGGGATGAGGAGTTACCGTTATTTACACTACATTCGGCCAAAGACCCAAATGGTGTAACAAGCGGATGACGATTCCATCAGATCTCAACTGTTGAACCAGCGGATGAAGACGGCTACGCCTGACGGACATGCTACAGAAGGCGCCATTCGAAAATATAACAGCCAGCTAGAATCCGTTGCAGTTTCATGACTGGAATTACATGTCTCATTCCATATGTACCGCAGGGGAAGGTCATGAAATAAAAGGTGTGGGTAACTACCTGACAATTCGAGGTCTTGAAACAAATTCCTGCCATCGACACTTCTGATTTTCTTTCACCGCCAACCAACTATTGAAGACAAACTTCGACAAAGAACAGATGACGGGAGCAGGTTTTGGCGAAACGAAGTTTTGTTCACAACCTGATCGTTGACGGCGAATTTAGTCATCAACGCTGTCATACATGGAAACGATTAGGAAAGAAGAAATTAAATTCTTGGATAAGAGATAATGCTGAAAACAATTCGGGCTATTGTCCTCATCCTTGTTATCACAACGTTTCGAGCGCTGTGTCCTTCGGCCTTACTCAGGTGTATATCGATTTGGGTAACCTACAGATATTTCTGAACTGAACGTCTTAGTCGGCGTAGTACAGAAATAAATACAATATGGGAGTCGCTCGTAAGCACAGAAAGACAAATGGCATACAAATCTTCAATCTCAACAGCAATAAAAGCAGAACAACAGGCAGCAACCTAATCAGCAGTCAGGTTAGTTTTAAGGCTCTAACCTTGTTGCAACAATGGATACAGTGGATAAAATGGTGGGTTTGTGAACTTGGAGACAGTGGTTGTGAGTTCAATCCCTGGATCGGGAACTCAGTGGAAACAGCCGAACAATAACCTAATAGCACTAAAAATAAGAACTAGACGAGATTCCCTTAGACATGAGCAGTGAAAAGAGAAATCTAACCCCGTAGATTAAATAAAGGGCTCAGCTCACAATAGTTCACGGATGTACTGTAAAAAAAACGATTTTCTCAGAAGAAATTTGAGAAAAAATTACAGTCTGTCTATATTTCTCATCATGGCACGTGGAACTAGAACAGTCTACCCCAGTGATCGAAATAAAGGGATCAGTTCGAAATTCCAACCACCTGAAGAAGGCCGGAGCGTACAACGGCCGAAACGTTGTGACAAATATGGCGACAAAGATGAGGACAATAGTCCGACTAATGTAAATACTGTAGAAAAATTTACATTCGAATGGCTGGGAAGATATTTGTAAAAAGAATTACAATCCAGGCATATGGCCATGTCACAGTGAAATACGGGTTCCCCTATGATGACTGAAGTTAAGCAATGTTGAAACTGGTGAGTACCTAGATGTGTAACTGTTTGAGAATACCAGATGGTATAAACTTGAATGTGTGAGTGGTGCAATGAATGGATAGTGACTCGGAATTTTTGATTGGAGAGCTGAGTTCCAATTCCTGTTGGGTTTGTTATATTTTTTTACGAAAGAAATTCTCTTGCTGAAGTGAAGAATCCGTCTTCTCCCTCCAACTTTAAGTTAATTATTCAAACTTATCACTAAACCATCATTATGTAAATAAAATGAAATCTTAATATCTAAATATGTTTTCTGGCTTTAGATAACCTGCAACGGCTTGATAAGCCGTAGAAAACGAATCAATCATAAAAATGCGCATTTTATACATTAAATATATATATATGTATATATATATATATATATATATATATATATATATATATGTGTGTGTGTGTGTGTGTGTGTGTGTGTGTGTGTATTTAGCCAGGAAATGGCTTTCTTTCATCCACATTTCATTGAAAACGACAGACAAAAATAAATAAATAAAAATACCTTGTCTGTCGTTTTCAATGAAATGTGCATATATATATATATATATATATATATATATATATATATATATATATATAATTATTTATTTTAAAAAAAAATTATAACACAAATATGTTATAAAATCACTAAAAAAATAGCCATTTTGTTTCAACACCCTCAGTGTCTTATCAAGTGATGATGTTGAGTGTAAAATAATAATAATAATAATAATATATATATATATATATATATATATGTGTGTATGTATATATGTGTGTGTTTGTGTGTGTGAGTGTGCTCATGCTTGTGTGCTCGTGCATGCAAGTGCCACTATGTGTTATAACAAACCAGTAAGATAGACAAACACGGGAAGGGGGAGTGTGAGGGATAGAATTAGTTGGTGAGATAGATACACAGAAACAAGTATAAATTCACTGCCGCGATATAAGTATAACTATTAATATTTTTAAAAAAATATGCCAAAATCTGCATAATTTTCTTTAATAACAAATGATTTCATTGCGCAAAAAAGAAATCACCGTCAACATTCTCTATGCAATTTTTTTTTAGCCATTTAAATATCGATCTACCATTGTTTTTCAATCAATTATTCTCTGACGTTTTTTTTTCTCCTTCTTCTTTCAAATACAAACAAATGCGGAGATATCGCACAAAATTTCTTTATTTTTCTATAAACAATAAAAGTTGATGTTTCTCTGCAGAATTTTTCTACTTCTCCCCGAAGCAAGTAAAAAGATGGCGTCGAAAGATAATTAACAAATGATGGAGGATTATTTTCGCGCGTTTGAAGATCACGTGGTTGCGAGAATAATTCGTAAAATTAAAGGGAAAACCTAGTTGAGAGGAACTCCAGCTTTTTGTAGAAATAATAGGAAAGAAGAAAGGAGGGGAAAAGAATAAAGGAAGAGAAAGGAAGAAAGGAGGTGAGGGAAAAGGAAGAAAGGAGGGGAGGGGAAAAGAAGGAAGGAGGGGAGGGGAACCGAAGAAGGGAGGTGAGGGGAAAGGAATGAAGGAGGGAAGAGGAGAGGAAAAGAAAAAGAGGGGAAGGGAAAGGAAAGAAAAGGAAAAGGAGAGGAAGGGAAAGGAATAAAGGAGGGGTGGGAAAAGGAAGAAAGGAAGGGAGGGGCAAGGAAGAAAGGAGGGGAGGGGAAAGGAAAAAAGGAGAGAAGAGGAAAGGAAAAGAAAAGGAGGGGAAGGGAAAGGAATAAAGAGGGGAGGGAAAGGAAGAAAGGAAGGGAGGGGAAAGGAAGAAAGGAGGGGAGTGGAGGGGAAAGGAAAAAAGGAGGGAAGAGGAGAGGAAAAGAAAAAGAGGGGAAGGGAAAGGAATGAAGTAGAGGAGGGGAAAGGAATAAAAGTGGGCAGGAAAAATGAAGAAAGGTGGGAAAGGGAAAGGAAAAAGGAGGGAAGAGGAGAGGAAAAGAAAAAGAGGGGGGAAGGTAAGGAAAACGGAGGTAAGGGGAAAGGAATAAAGGAGGGGAAGGAAAAGGAAGAAAGGAAAGGAAGGGAAAGGAAGAAAGGAGGTGAGGGGAAAGTAAGAAAGGAGGGGAGGAGAAAGGAATAAAGGAAGGGAGGGGAAACGAATAAAGGAGGGGAAGGGAGAGGAAAGGTGAAAGGAGGGGAGAATAAAGGGTGCAAATAGAGACCCGTATTATAGGAGATATGTGAAGGGAGGAGGAAAAGCTAGAGGAAGAGATATGAAGGGGTCATAAAACTAAAGGAAAAGAAACAATGGCGATGAAGGAAACGAAAAAAAAGGGAGTAGAAAAAAAGAAAAGGAGGAAAAGGCGAAAAAAGAGAAAAGGGAAGAGAAAAATAGAAAGATGGTCTAGAACAAAAGAATGGCATATGGAGAAACCAAGCCAAAAAAGGAACAGACGAATACACAGAGAACCAGTAGAGAATTGAAGGAGAGCTATTCTTTGATATGGCAGGAATTTTGGCGTAGGCGATTTTAACGACACAAATTTCTTTCTTCTAGAAATTCTTGCTACTTCAACATATTGAATTATACTTGTCCTGCCGTCTATTTAATCAAACTCAAGTAAATCACTTGATGCTTTTCTTGCGTTTACTATGTCCTGTCATTATGAAGTTTCCTTTCATAACTATGGCTCCCTAAAAATGTCTTACGGTTAACATCAGTTTTTGAAACTCCTATTCATGCTGTACGCACCATTTGTAAGAATCCAACAATGATATTCAAACTAATTCTAGGTCACGCTTCATTATGCTGCTGGAATTTTCCGTCATTGTTGCGCTTACATGGGCTCCATAAATGTGTGTAAATGGTCACGAGACATGACGCACACGTGTCAATGGCGTTCTTTAACGGAGCAATGTGCCTAACCTATGTCAGGTAACATTCCACCCAATTGTGAAATAATCTTGTCGGCAGTAAATAACTCTTGAGGTTGGTATACTATAAAACAAACCAAACCAAACTTACAAGAAACGAGATTAATCATATGGATGGCTTTAATTTTACTATATGATACATTGTTGGTAATTGTGTTATAACATGTATCGTTCGGCATCCTATTATAAAAAATATTGTTTGCCATTTTGTTATAAAATATATTATTGTTAATGCTGCTAGTATTTTATCGCCATGCTAGCAGCATGGCCCGGCGTTGCCCGTGCTTGATTCAAAAATCGTACGACTCATACATCAATCGCTATCACTTGACTTGAAATATTTTTGCCCTTTCTTGACTTCAAAGGAGTGCCCTTTTCCGTGCTGATGTTGCTACATGCCTTACTTCTTGCCTATCTCACACTGCAAATTTTTTCTAAGCTCTATAATAAACATTAAATCTGTTACGAAAAAAGAACTAAACAAAATGGACACAAAACGATCAGCTTTAAAAAAGAACTCGTAACTGGAAAAACCTAATGAAAAAAGAATGTTAACACCAAATATTTTTCACAACCAACTCAGTTCTGCGGAATCAGAATCAACGTTGAGTTTAAGCAAGCGAATGAGCCAATTGGAGTAAAGTGCCATGCAGATTTAAATTTTTCCCACTTGTGAAGAATGCAGCTATCGATTTTTTTACATGCTAGCATGCTAGTTAACATTCGTGTCAGTCAGCTGTTGGTTCTCACGCTGGCCAATAGAATCTTCCTGCCTATTCGTGGCAGCCAGCTATAGGCTCTCACTCTGGTCAGTAGAAAAAGGCTGCAGACTACATGAAAACTGCTGTAGAAGCATAAAAATCAATTATTTCCACTATCGATTTGAGTTGGGAAATGCAACGTCGGTCTTGTCCTTCCTGCTAACTTAGAGCAGGTGCATGTAAATTTTGGTGCAAATCCGTCGAAAATTGCATCCGTGAATTCGTTACACACACATACACATCCTGTCTTTTATAGATAGAGATCCAGGAATCGATATTATTGGTATATAATTACGATAATGCAGGACATTTACTGCATAGGAATTAAAAATGTATTCTGTAGGTTACTAGAGGATATAAACCCCCTATTTTACGACCAATAAGTTAAGCGCCTATAAATAATTCTTATAAAATTCAGTACATATGATGAAACAATTTTATAAATTTGTACAGAACACCATACTAAATAAGTAGTTTCTGGAAAATGATTTGATAACACAAGTCCCATGATGTGCTTTCTACTACGTCCACGCGGTTGAACTTCAAATAACCTTGAAAAAGTGTCGGGGTTCGGATTACTGAGTACATTCGCCCGCAAAACTCAGATAACAATGAGGAACTGACCCAAAGCGATGAAAACGGAAATCATTAAGTGAAAGAACAGTCAACGAACAAGTCCCAGCCACAACCCACGTTACCATGACAACGCGTCGGTCTGCGACGATTTTCCCACTGTAAAATTTAAAAAGTTCCGACAAAATCAAGTCAGTTCTCCGCTTTGTTCACCGTATACAAAATTACTGCTATCGTACACAATCCGTCAACTGTCACACGTCTTTCGATAGCGTGTGCTTCCCACTGACACACACAAACATATTGACGGACATATCAACTGGAACTTTGAGGCCCCACTTTCAACGAAATTGCCTCCGACTTTGGAGACCCACTTGCAACGAAATTGTGTTTTGCAGACCTACTTGCAACACATCATTTCGAACACTCCAACATTTGATCTCTTCATGGCCACAACAAAAAACATTTATTTTTAACATGTAAATATATGTATCTGCCTGTACAATTGTTATTGTCTTACTTAGCTTGGTCTTTTTCTACGAAGATCATTTCACTGTGTTGTTTATAAGTTTATGTTGTATTTGAGGGCACGACACACAGATTTTATTTTCCCGCCAAAAATCCGGGTAGACTGACCCCATAGTACTCAAACATTTAAAGGGCGATATGATTCTCTCTTAGATTTTTTCCCGAGATCCTAAGGAAACTAGAAGCACTAGCTGAGTTTAATATTTTGGTAGGTACAACTTTAGTATCAGAATCACAGATAACGCCATATTAGTTGACAGAGTAAAAAAAAATACGGGTAAAATGTTTACTTATTTAAAAAAAAAAGACTTTTACTCAGCCAAAATAATAAAGGGAAGCAGGAAGCAATTTCAAGATTATCAATAACCTTCCCGATATCATCAGTTCCCAACTAGATATTTATCCAGATGCCAACTATTTACTCTTGTATCCTAGTAGTATCATCACCTTTCTTGAAGGCTAAAGGAGAAATAAAATTAACCTTACATTCTTTGGAAACAATGTGCGGCTATCAGCAAGAGGAATAGTCCAAGATACGAACTACGAATTGGAAATCAAAGACAGAAATTTCGAAATTTAAGAACAGTTTCAACTTTTTGTGATGTCAACGAACACTCGCTGCTAGTTTTTTAATGTCAACGAATACAGGTTATCACTTTCGTAATGCTCGTTCTAATGCCTTTATAATCACCGGTACAACTATACTAACGCCGTTGAACAATACTGGTGTCAGACGCCTTCGAATATCACTCGCGCTAATAGCACTTGCTCGATAATACTCGCTCAAAAAGTAAGCACCAAATAGTGATCCGAATAGTAATTGGTATCGTGATGATATTCACCTACCGCCCTACGCGGTCGGATGTGACACAAGGCCGAGTTTATTGTGGGCTATCCGAGCCCTTAGGCTAGGGCAAATATTCCCCGGAGACCCCGTAAGAACGGGGTCGGGTAGCTATCTACCACCCCAGATGAGACTCTGCCTTCAGGCATAAACTCGTCTGGGTTCCTCTCTGCCCAGAGACAGAGAGTTCGACAAGCACACCTCCGAAGTAATTCAGAGAGTGATGATATTCATCTATCGTCCCACGAGGTCGGATGTGGCACAAGGCCGAGTATATTGTGGGGTATCCGAGCCCTTAGGCTCGGGCAAAATTTCCCCGTAGACCCTGTAAAAACGGGGTACGGTAGCTGTCTACCACCGCAGACGAGGCTCTGCCTTCTGGCATAGACTCGTCCGAAAATTTGGAGAGTGATCACTTAGACGCTACGCTAATTACCATATATACATTTTACCATCACGTGATGTACTTATTCAAAATGGGATCGCCTATGTTTGCTCTCTGGTGAGTTGTGTTCAAACTCCAGTGTCGGCAGCGACAATTTATTATAATATAACACAACCGATGACAGAAAAATTGATACCGAAATGTGTAGACTTATTTTAACAGTCAGTGACTCCTTCCACCAGGGAGATATCGTTAGAAATTTAGATAAGATGGGTGCTGAAATATGTTTCAGTCCTCTATGGCAGGGAATGCTGGAAAATTTCCGATACAAAGGAACTTGAGGCAAGAGAAATGTTCTACAGAAGGATGCTGAGAATATCATGAATGGAGCATGTGAGCAACGAGGAAGTTTTAAAGAAAATGGAAACAAAAAAAAAAGAGAACAGGTATATTAGGAATAAGAAAGAGTTTAAATGTCTGGGAAAGGATGTTTAGAGAATTTGGTATTTACAGAACAAATTGAATTCAGGGAGAACAGTGAGAAGAATAAATATCCTAAAAAGGTATCATAAATGAATGACAGAACAAGTCGAGGGAAAGATGTTGAAGGTAAAAAAAGGTGCTTAGAGCTACAAAGGAGAGGAAGTTGTGGAGAGGTATTATTTTTGTGTCCCTTAAAAGACACGACATATAGACGAAAAATGAAAAATCTCTAGAAAAAACGTTCCATAATATCGCTCGTGGGCCGAATTGCTGAGAAAATTCGTTGGTAAAGCAGGATCATCAATAAAGTAATTCCTCTAATTTTATGTTGGCACATGTTTACGGAAGCGAAGGTCTGTCATATTGCAGTTCCTGCTAATCTATCATGCTTTTCGTTGAAAGCAGTCGAGCAAAATATCGTCTGACATAAAAGTGTGTACAAAGCTGAGGTATTATCGAATCCTTGCAAGTGGAATGTTTTTCTTTTTATCACAAACGGAAATGCTTAATCTGTGGTTGTTACTATGTTTTAAAAATCGTTTCACCTCAAGCAAGGCAACAAAGCCAACACTCAAGAGGATTGTTGATTGTGAAAGTATATAATAAAAATATTAAGGATCTAGAACAATAAAAAACAGAAATTATAACAAATCTTTATTACTATAAAAGTCTATGAACGTTGCTTGTGTGTTTGCCAGAAGTCATATATAGAGAGTGGGTGAAGGAAATGGAGAAAAAACGGTCTTTCTTTCCTTTCATCTCTCCTTCTTTCCATCTTCATGTGATTGTGTGCGTGTTTATTCATTTCATCTTTCTTTAAACAAACAATGTTTTAAATATTTTTATTTCAACTATCTTCAAGTAGGAAGTATTTGGATGTTGAAATCAACTTCAATGTTTTATAATATGATTTAAAAATACGATTCGTTTATACAGTATTTTGATTTAAACTTCCTTCAAACCAACAATTCTTTTAATTTTGAAAGCAACTTCAATAACTGCAAAGAAATGTATTTTTAATATATCTCTACTTTCACAAACTCTTCCTGAAACTAAATGTAAACAGTAACATAACAATGTTGACCCAACTGGTCACGGGTGGCCTAGTAATTGATTAGATTTTTGAAGATCAAATTTGACTAGAAAGTAATAACCCAGAAGAGATTCCACAAGCGAGATGTCCGGGAGAAGAAACTGTTAGCAAAGAACT